AGCTCTGTTGAACCGCATACTAACATATATATGTCTTGGTCACGTTGTTCTACCATGTCGTCCGCCAAGTATCAATCCATGCGCAATGATAGATTCGGAAAGGGTCCTCTAAATTCTGGTCATCCAAGGTATCTGACAATCGAATTAGACCAACATCCGACAGTGAGCGAGTATGGGGCTGTAAATTTAGTGAGTTAGGCATTGTACAACTCATGAATCTTTGTTTGGAACTTTTCCAACTCTTCCTTGTGAAGTTCAAGCTGCGGCGGATTCAGAAACTTACGGAAAACCTTCTGAATCTGGCCGTAAAAGCGATGAATTGGCTCTACTCCTAGTCCTTCGAGATCTGTACAGAAATCAACTGAATGAAAACTCCATTCACGTCCAAGCTTCGAGGATTTTAAAAACAGTTTGTCCCAGTTGCCCGAACCTCTTCCCACGGTTTGAAATCAAACCTTCCCCTTCCCGTCCAGCGCAGGTCCACCAAGGTGGCTGCTTGTGGCTTAGTATTCCACATAACACATGACATAAGCCTCATTTACCTTGGAACCATGCGAGGAGCTTGAGCAGGAGGCCCAAATACAACGAGTCCAGGGCCCGTGATGGCGAGAAAAAAAACAAATCGCTCTTGAATATATTCTTGCAGAGCCTACTACATTACCTGAAGAATCGGTATTCTTGTCCGAAACGTTGACTAGATGACGGTAGGGCCAAGGGTTCCGACTGTGACAGAGAGAAACCTCGGGGTGTTCACGAGTTGAATTGCCATTATGGAGATGGCATTTAAGCTGGTATTGCATAGCTGATACTTCTTCGTCAGACCACAACAGCGGCGCTCCTCCGTGTGTGCACGGCGCATCTCTGCAGTTATGAATCTGGCCTTTGGGTCGGCCAACATTGCTTGCCCCTGGTGCGCCGCACAGAATCCTCCTGCAGCCGGGGGTCTAGTGCAGTTGCCGCTCCGGGCGAGCCCGAAGCATTCCGTGTGACTGGGGGTGGTATGCACATACTCGGTGTACACAGGGGGTGATTCAGAGTCACTCCAGTAATGCTCGTCAGACATTGAGGTAAGTGGACGGTTGGCAATGGACCTAGGTGGTAGTGGGGAAGAGGAAGGAAAGGCGACCCACGAACAAAGACAATGTTATCAAGCACCATCTTGCCTTTTTTAGGCCTATTTACCACACGCGCCTCGAGGCAAACTTGACAGTTTGGGGTTTCAATCTCTTTGTGAATTGTTTTTCCCGAGTTAAGGCCTAGAATGCTCATCGATTCACAGGAAAGGCACACAAGGTCCTAATGTCAGTACATTCCGTATTTCTCCGATGGTACCGATTGAAACGATGTTGCCGGATTTTGCGGGAGATGAGGTTCATGTGATCACGGACGCGAAGTGTCACACTGTGACCCGACGCGTTAACGGTGGTGTCAGGAATTATTTGCGAGACTTTCACTTTTGCACGGAGATGGAAACATCGGATGACTGGTACATATTTCCCGCCCAGTATGATTTGAGACTTCGAAGCTGGTCGATCACCTGTTGGCCCGAGTTGCCCGAGGGCATTCTCACGGTTCAAACCGCTTAATTTTGGACCAGAGCTAACATAAATGTCGTACAGGCAAGAGGTCCTGGTTCCATTCACGGTGGGTGGTGCTCAAGTCCTTCCTTTTGGTAGTGTTACTGTCGCACTCTCAGACCTCATATCTCAGCTGGGTTTTGAGGTTTGATTGTGATGAGAGGAAGAGAATTCAACCAGTGGCCATACTTACTTGATTACTACATATATAAACGATGTCGGGATCTAGCTTGTGACCACTGACTTCATTCCAAACTTCTCTAGCCGTTTATGCAGGAGTGTCTGGTTCAATTTCGGGTTCGGTTATGATGGCTCTGTCTTAAAGGCTTTTCTTGTTCAAATCTGGTTTTCTTTCAACGCTGAGCCGCTTCCCGTGATTTTTCTCTTAATGCGAACCATTTCGAAAGGGAAATTTTAACTTGTACGATCCTCTATGGTTGTTGAATAGTCAATGGTCAACTTAGAAAGATAGTAGTGCATATAAACAACGTTGGCAGCTAGCTCATAGACACTTGATAGCATATGGTGTGCACTTGCTTCAGTTAATGGCACACATGAAGCTGAGCAAGCAAGAGGCCCCGGTTCGATTCCGGGTTGAGTGATACTTTGGTCGCAAGGTCTTTTTTGTTCCTTTGCCACACGGTCCCTTTTACGATACCACATTCGCATGGGTTGGTTGAAGTCCGAGGAGCAGAATTTTATTTAGTTGACTTGATTTTATCGATCACTCGAGTTGACTTTCTAGATCTTTGTGAGTGGCTGATTTTTGCTTTGTTCAGCCAGGTTTTACCCCATAAACACTACATAGAAACGAGCTTTGAACTCATGTTGCAACTACTTGATGGCACATGTTGTAGACCTGCTTTACTTGAGTTGAGTCGATTCCCTTTCCACTTGGCCCTTTAGCCTTGTACTCGCTCAGAAGCAGAGCATATAAAAGACGCTAGGAGCTGACTCATAGACACTCAATAGCACATGGTGTGCACCTGCTTCACCTGATTGATCTATCGACAGTTATGCAGGAGGCTCCGGTTCGATTCCGGGTCGCGTGATAGTATATAATGTTTGAAGTTTTGTCTTCATGCTTTTCACGCATTCACTCTGACCAACAGCAATGACCAGGGTTGTATGGAAGTTCGAGGAGCAGCGGCAACAAATGTTCAACCAGTTTTATTACTGAAGTTGATTTCTCCGTTGGTGCCTCACGAATAGGGCAGACCATAAACGACACGGGGACTTAGCTTGCAACCACTCAGTGGCACATGGCATGCACCTGTTTGACCTGAAAATTGGCGGCAGTTTAAGCAGGAAGTCCCGGTTCGATTCCGGGTCGAGTGATTCCGGAGTGTTGTGAAAGATTTTTTGTTCCCTTTTCACACGGTTCCGTTTAGGTGTCCACTCTCACCAAGGAACAGATAGGATTGACCTTTGAGGAGCGGAGAGGTTCAACCAATTAACCACTCGACTTGATTTTTATTCGAGTTGATTTCCTTTTTCTCTCCTTATTTCAATCCTCGGTCTTCAACCCATAAACCCTGCATATACACGATGCTGGGAGTTAGCTTGCAGACACTTGATAGCACATGGTGTGCACCTGCTTGACCTACCGTGGTGATGCATAGTTTACGCAGAAGGCCTTGGTTCGATTCCGAGTCGAGTGATGGGAATTTCGAAGCGATTTTTTTTTCATCCCCTTTCCACACGGTCCCTTTCATGATACCGCACTCACATGGGTTGGATTAGAGTGTGAGGAGCAGAGAGGCTCAACTGATTTTATTTTCAAGGGTCGAGTTCATTTCCCTTTCCACACTGTCTTGTCTTCTTCCTTTTACAAGGGGGAATCGGGATTAAAATTTTGGATGTAGGGTCGAATTCGACCTAAAATGAGGGCCGGCAATCGATTTCTAATTTTTTAAGAATTTTTCCGATTTCTTTTCCAAATTTTCCCACGAGGGGGGGGGGGAGGGGGGGTCCGGTCGAAAATTTTGTGAAAAACGCTCTAATGAATGCGTTCATTTCAGGAAAAATGTCAAAAAAATCGGTGAAAATATTCGCCTCAGCCATCAAAGTTGCGACATCTCCACAACCTGAACTCGTATGAACCTGGAACCTTCAAATATTGATTTCCCGCCCATTCTTACCCCCGAATTCGACCCTACTCCGAAATTCTAATCCCGATTCCCCCTTGTCCTTTTAGGCTCGGAACTCGCTGAGAAATAGTCCATATATTGAGCTTCACACTTAGGTTTTAGACACTCGGTAGCACATGGTATGCACCTGCTCAATGTAAACAACTCCGTTGAGGGTTCATGTGCAGGAGTTCGCAGTTCGATTCCAGGTCGAGTTATTTGTCCGGCTCATACCAGTTCTAAGCTTATTTTTAGTATCACTATCTAAGTTGATTTCCTTTACTTTCTCTTCCTCAGAAGTAGTGGATATAACAACGCTGGGAGTTAACTTGCAACCACTCGGTAGCACAAGGTGTGCACCTGCTCGAGTTGATTCCACTCATTCGTTCACGCGGGAGGGTCCCGGATCGACTCCGGGTCGGGTGATGGGTGTAAAAGAAGACCAGCTTTTTTTCTTTCCCCTTCTACGCTTCTAACGTAGGTCGCTCACTAAGCGAAGGGGTTGGACTTGAAAGTCTGGCTGGATCTCGAAGAGCGGAACTTAACGACTCACCTTGATTTTCTTGAGAATTCGGGTTAATTTTCTTCGTGGGTGGTTGATTTCCGCTAGGTTCAGCCAGGTTTCACGCCACACACTGCATATGAAGGAGGACTAAACTGAGGTTGCAACCACTCAGTAGCACATGGTGTGCACCTGCTTGACCTTAAAGTGTTTGCGGCCATGTTTATGCAGGAGGTACTGGTTCGATTCCAATTTGAGTGTTGGACTATCTCTTGTACACATTTTCCCCCCCCCCCCGTTGATACACTTCCGTTCGGTGTCACAATCTCACCAATAGATTGGATTAAGGTTCGAGGAATGGAGTAAGAATCTCCCTCGAGTTCGGCTCGTGTTAATAACTTTCCGCCCTCAAATTAGCCTTGGACTCACTCAGAAAGTAGTACATATACCCTAGCTCAAATACCAGCCTGTAGACACTTGGTAGCACATGGTGTGCACCTGTTTGACTTGTCGTCGCGGGTACGAGTTTATGCAGGAGGCCCCGGTTCGATTCCGGGTCGGGTGATGTCCAGGGTTTGTGAGGCCTTTTTTGTTCCCTTTTCACGTAGTTCCCTTCAGCATACTCACATGGGTTGGACTGAACTTGAAGCTCAAGGAGCAAACTTTATTAGTTCACTGAATTTTACTGGCAACTCGAGTTGCTTTCCTCATATTATGGTTGATTTCTGCTTGGTTCAGCCAGGTGCACTCATAGACACTACATATAAACAAGCCCCAAAACTAGCTTACAGACACTCGGTAGCACATGGTGTGCACCTGCTTAACTTTGCGATTTCTTATGTTTGAGAGTTTATGCGGGAGGTTCTCGGTTCGATTCCGGGTCGGGTGGTAGTCAGCTTTATTTGAAGCACTTTCTTTTTTCCAACGCTGACCTGCTTCTCGTGATTCTTCTCTCAAGACGGAGTATTTCGTTGGACGGGGAGGAAAGGAAAACAGAAAAACTATCCCCCATGGTTGAATTAATCTTAGTTCAAATACTGTAGTCAACATTCAGCTCATGGAAATATATCGGTACATTAAATGATGCTGCAAGATAGCTTACAGACACTTGGTAGCACATGGTGTGCACCCGCCTAAGTTGACCGACGTGTTTTCTAGAGTTTACGTGTGCTTTAGGGCCAACAAGTGGCAGTACGAGTCCGCCGCCCTGCCGGGGGCCATCTTTGATGTCCCGCGTTGTTCCGTTTTCACCTTCCACACTCTGAACAGTGAAATTGTATTATTTAACATCTTTGTACCTTCGAGTAGTTACATGCACAGTCAACCACCCGGCTCGGCGCTCGCCCGACCTGCGGTCGGCTCGGCCGAGCCGGGGCATGAGAGGGAGCAGAGGTAGGTGAGCCGTCATGATGAAGAGAACCGCCAATGGTTGCTTCGGGAAGGAAGAGAATGTGTTCTCAACATACACCTTTTGGCTCAACACTCTCTGAGAAAATGCTGAGATGTACAACCTTCAATGATAAAAGTACAGTAGTTAAGGTACGCTCGAGGGATCATCACGTCATGTGAAAATGGTACGTAGAACCCAACTCCAGTATGGGGGGGTGTGGGAGGAGCCGTATGCTTCGTGGCTCAGATCGCCCTCGGGTGGGGGTGCGCTACGCGCTGGACACGTCGACGCGTCAACATCGGACGCGCGCTTTGAGCGGAAGATGGGCTCCGAGGTATGAGAGGAAGCAGGCGAGAGCTTTGCGCGCAAATCACCCCGAGCGTAGCCTGGGCAGGGAATCCCCGGGAAAGGACCCGAAGGCAGCGAGTACGGCCCCGATGCAGATGACGGAGAGCAAAGTTAAGTGCCGACCCAGAACATGGAGATCCTAGGGGCAGCCTCACCTGGGCAAAAACACGGGGATGTCGTCGTAATCCTTTTCGAAAAACCGCCGCATTTATGCGCTTCAGGAATCCGAGTTCTGCCCGCCCCCAAAGGCTACACATCGAAGGTCGATGGCCAGAAGATGCTGTCGACAGAGTCGCCGCCGCTGAAAGTGCGGATTTGTTCAGAACGAAGGTAGATGTGTCGTGTCAGAGGCTGTGAGCTGGCTCGAGTAAGTTCCTTCAAGACACTGTAACATTTGCTTCAATAAAAGACTAAGTTCAGCGGGTATTTGAGACGGTAAAAGGTAGGGACAGGTAACGGCAAGGGTAAAGAGAAACGTACTAAGGCAAGGCACATGTGGGGTGCGGTTAGACAAGGGTACGCTGCGGAGGGGGTATGTGGCCAGCGTAGGTGAGAAAGCAAAGCCATCACGATTTTCGATGTGCGCGAGGGATAGAGTCGGTTTTTTTTTTGTGAATTGCTCCAATGGACGAGGTATGGCATGGCATCGAATGCCGCAACAGAACGGTAACATGGGAACCGACAATACACCGGTGTGCGCAGACCTGAAAAGATTGAGATAAAAAGCACATGGGTCGCATGGTCTCCAGTGGCATTTAAATAATGATGAGCTGGTCAAGCCCTTGCACCGGGCGCGCAAATGGCGCAGGAAATTCCGCCACGGATAGAAGGCGGGCGGTGTCATCTCATATTTGTGTTTCGGTCACTCACCGAACACGGCAAGTCCGGTCGGTGGGAGCGAGCGTCGATACCGACACGAGACCGCACACAGCGCATCCACCTCGAAATTGTGTGGTGTGCGGCAGAAAACCAAGCGCTCAAAATAATAGCTCCTTACAATAAACACACGGAACGAGGGCGCGCCAAAAGAAATGCGGGACAAAATCACCGCATCGCGGCAAACGACAGCGCCAATTGAAGAAGAGGCAAGTAGGGACGAACCTTCAGCTTCAAACCCCAGATAAACATACCCGGGAGCACGCTGTGGAGAAGTCCCAGAGAGTTCACTGTATTGATTTAACGGCATATATTTCAAAGAATAAGAACGAGGAAGGTGAGTTGAAGGGAGGAAGTCAGGATACTGAGAAAACACATTAGACACAATGCAAGACTCGCGCCACAAGGCTACGCAGCGCGGGAGAATGAGAAACATATATCAGACCCCGATGTGCGGAAAGAGGATTGGGTGGGCGGGCCGCACGTTCACCGGCGCAAGGGCGGACACATCAAGAGCGTACATACGCAACCCGCCGGATAGATAAAAGGAGACCAAAGACGAGGTGGGCACTCATCCACGCAATATTGTCTGCCTCATATACATCTTGATACAGTATGATCAGATACACGTACAGTGCCCGTCGCTCAGGTTTACCGGTTCAGGTCCTGGAGGCGTGGTAGCTCACGATGAGTTGGCAGAGAAGAGTTTGACTGCGCGCCACGAGGGTGTGGAGGTGAGTCGACATTTGTCTTGAATCTTGCTTGAATTCTTGTTATTTTAAAGAGAGGCGATAGGCCGATAGCCAAGTTCTGTTCCAGGATGAGAACCAGCAGTCAAACCTGTCTCTGAAGACGAAGGGATGGGAAGATCGAGTAAGAGTTAGATTAACGATAAGCAGGCCCAGGCGCCGCGGAGGGTCACGAGGATGATGGAACAAACAACATTCAAAAGTAATATAAACAAAGGCCAAGTCACGCATACTGAATTTTGACGAAATTTCTAGGGACGACGAGGTCACGAGAACGAATCCTAAAAATAAATTTTAGGACTCGTACTTAATGCGGGAGGTTCTCGGTTCGATTCCGGGTCGGGTGATGCGGTCTGAAGAGTGCTTTTTTTTTTGCTACATGATTTCTTTGGTACACTATTTCGTGGACCCCGGTTGAGCTTGAATTGATGCGTGTCGGGTTCGTGGTTGTGACAGCAGAGAGAGTATGAGATTTATTATTGCGATTGACATTGAGTAAAGAAGGACGACTCGGAGCGATTACAGAGATACCCCGGCATACGATGTGGGTGGGTAAACTTGCTGGTTGCAGGTCAAAGGGTCAGCTTCGGCAGGATAATTTCTCCGTGGAGTGGAACAATTGGACATAAGGATGGATAGTATTCTGGCCGGAGCAAATGACGCGACGGTGTCGATGGTAAGAGACCTCGAGGCTTCAGGGCATGGACAGAGGAGATACGGAAGATAGATAGAGGGCGCAGCCCTGGAATAGCAGGCTTAAAGTAACGGAATGAATTGCCAGAGGCGCATGCGCAGACACCAGTGCCGTGCAGAGGTTGTTAGGGAGAGGTGGTCACGAGGGATAATATTTTCAACGAGGGAGCGCCAGTGCAGTTTTCGAGCGACAGATACGAAGGCATTCTCTGAAAGGTAGTCCATTAATGCGCGCTCAGATTATTTGGCGGTGGTGGCAGATTTGAGTCCTCGGAAGCGGGAAGCGGACAGCGGGGACAAGCCGGTCGATGCGAGCACATCATGGAGTAGGGCGTAGCTGTCGCCGGGGAGGCCAGAGCGGAGCTCGTCGTGGTGAGGAAGAGAGAGCAAGGCCGGCGAATATTTAGTCGCCGACCAAACTTGCCGTTTCGACCACAATTCGACTCGGATGCCCATACTCAAGCACAGACACGGCAGACGCGGTTAATTAGCTGGACAGAGAGAAGGATAAAGCGAGAATGGGCAAGGCCTCATACACGCGTGGAAGCGAGGGAGCTATACCGAACTCTCGCAATTGCCGCCTGCGAGCTTCGCCCAGCACGTCCGCTTCCCCACTTCCATCTCGCGCCCACTTGCCGGTGCATCTATGCGAGCGCAGGTACATACGGAAACTGCTGGCAAGAGCAAGGACAAAGATGGCGCTGAGGATAGCAGGACAAGGACGACGCGCCAGGCATCAGTATCCGCAAACACCATCTCCATCCCGACCCCGTCGCCCAGATGCCGATGTGCATGGTCCTGCGCGAGCTTGCCGCCGCCTTCGTGCGCGTGCAAAGGCCTATGGTGTTGAGTGGCTGCCACAATTCACTATTCAATGGCTACGCCGACAGACACAGACACGCCCTCCACCGGCCACGGACGCGCACATCGTCTGCACTGCCGTGCGCCAACCCCTTGAACTCGCCTGCGGCGATGCCAAATAGAATTATCCCCCTCGCGCGTCTACTGCTTCCTTACGCCAACCTTGAGGACCAGCAAGGGACAAGGTTAGCAAGGACAGGCTCAAGGACGACGCGCAGGCATCCGCAAACACAGACCATCCCCGTCCGTCGCCCAGATCGCGGGTACGTATGGTGCCGCTCGAGCTCGCGCCTCCTCCATCTCCTCCAACCCGCACATTTCCCCCTCCCCGCGCATGGACGTCGCTCAGTCCTTCGAGAACACGACCTTCCGCTCCCCCAACTGGGGCACCGACCCCCTCCCGCGCGACCGCTCACGTCCCCCAACATGCAGAAGCCCCAGTCGCCCCAGCGCCTCCTCATGCCCGACGACGAGCACGCCGTGCACGGTGCGGGTGGGTTCACGCCCCCGACGATCAACGCGCCCGAGGGCGATGGCGTCGGCCCGCGATTGCACATCGTCTCCGCCACGCCCGTCAGCGGCGGCGGCGCGGGCAGCACCGGTGCGGGGCCTAGCTTCCAGAGTGGGTTGGAGACGCTGCATCAGGGTGAGTTGCGCTCACGCATTATCGGATTGATTACTAATGCGTGCGCAGGGACGTCCCTCGGCGGTGGTGGGCAGGCGAGCCAAGGGGGCGGCGGCGCGCAGGGCGGAATACAGCTCGCAGAACCCAAGTCAGTCCGGGGGGTACGACTTCCGCGGCGGCGATCCATCCTCCTCCTCATCCGCCGCCAACCCCAACAACAATTCCAATAACGCGAACAGCTCACCCTTCCTCGCCGGGCGCCAACGCCGGAAATCCGACACCGCGTGGGACGAGTCCGGCGGGGCCAGCAGCAGCTTCATCGGGCAGATGGGCAACATCGGGTCCGC